CGGGGGCAACACTGGGGGTTGCGATCCGTTGCCGGACACGGAAAAAAGACAAAAAAAAAAATTTGGATATTTCGTTCCTTGCAATGATTTTTCGTTTTTGTTTATTTTGCATTTTTTTAAGTATCCACAACAGACCCCCGCAAATGTTGCAGCTTGTCCCGCCCCCTTTCATGGGTGTCTACATATGTCAAAACTGATCAAAATGTACACTTTAAATATGTACCCTTGTTATACTTCAATTATACCTTAATCATTTTTTAGGTTTAAAAACCTGGGTGCTCTGTCCAGTCAAACAGTCTAAAAAAAAAAAAGGGGCCAGCCCGGTGGTGCACTCGATAGAGTGCGGCGCTTGGGAGCACGGTGGCGCTCCTGCCGAGGGTTCGGATCCCATATAGAGACTGGTCCGCTCACTGGTTGAGCACGGTGCGGGCGCGACACCGAGGGTTGCGATCCCGTTGCCGGTCACGAAAAAAGACAAAAAGGAAAAAAAAAAAAAAAGAAACCCTGTGTGAAAGAAATAATAAATTTTTGTGATGATGAATATGCGAATAATTACTCTGATTTGATCATCACACACTGTATACACGTCCTGAAATATAACTCTGTACCCCATACATATGTACAGTCAGTACATGTCAGTCAAAAATAAATGAACAGATAAATAAAAGCCCCCCCCCCCCAAATAAAAACCTGTGTGAGTAGCTCCTCTATCTAGCTCCATACCTGCTTATTGGGGCTTTCCAGAGACAAGGAATTCTGGCTGTGGCTGTGGGCATTCCCTGCCTGCTACCAGTAGGGAGAAGTGCCTGTCAGAAGCCAAGGTCAGCTCAAGGTCATTTGGGCAGAGAAGGGAAACACAAGTGCTCCAGCAGCTACTCTGGTCACAGCATTCTTCTCACCTTCGCTTCCCGTCTCTCCCCTTTCGCTGCTAAGTATCATTTCTCACACACATCTTGGAAAATCCATCGTTGACCACAGGTTCCAGTTTTGGTTTTGTTGAATGAAAAAAAAAAAAAGCTAGCTTTCTAGCTTTCTACTGAAAACCACTTCCTTTGCTCGGTTTTCAAACGCAAACCCTAGGAGGGCAACATAAATCATTCTTCATCCCAGGCAACTGGGTGTTTCCAGAGGNCCTCATCCAGTCAGTTGAAGGCCTTAAGTGAACAAAGACTGAGGTCCCCCAAGAAGGAAGGAACGCCACCTCCAAATGGCCTTTGGACTCAAGCTGCATTATCACCTCTTTCCTGAGCGTCCAGCCTACTGACCTACCCTGCAGATTTCAGACTTGCCAGCTCCCACAGCAGTGTGATCCTAATCCTTATTACACACACACACACACACACACACCCATTGGTTCTCTTTCTCTAATATAATTATTAATTGTATCTTGCTTTTCGTTGGCATGGTGATGGTTACATTTGTGGGTTTAGCTATTGGAGCTGTTATCTCTATGTTTTTACATATCTCTGTTGTGAGGGTAAGTACGAACTGGAGGAAATAGTGCTTAAAATGTCTAGTCTCAGCCCACATCACTTCATTAATGTTGATCCCGTCAGACCTCCAGCGAGCATACCTTGTTACTCAAGTGTTTATGTTACAGAATACATTAAAAGTAATAAAATGACACTTCACGCACTGCCAGATTGTCACTATTTAGCTCTCTTGAAAACCACAGATAACTTAGGATTTTCTAGTACTGTTTGCTAGTTACCATCAAATAAATTTTAAAACAAATTGAAAAAAATAAATATTTCTATAGCATTCAGGAGGTGCTAGGCATCAGTTATCTCTTGCTGTGTAACAAACTGCCACAAACAGTGGCTGCCTGTGCTGTGATGTGTCTGAGCTAATAAGGTGGCTGAAGAGGAAAGATGGCTTGGGGCTGCCTGGGGCACTCCAGGATGTGGCACAGAAATATATTATATATATATTATTTAAATATATAATATATATATTATTTTTTTTAAAAAAAGGGGGGGGCCAGCCCGTGGCTCACTCAGGAGAGTGCGGTGCTGATAACACCAAGGCCACAGGTTCGGATCCCTATATAGGGATGGCCGGTTCACTCACTGGCTGAGCGTGGTGCTGACAACACCAAGCCAAGGGTTGAGATCCCCTTACCGGTCATCTTTTAAAAAAAAAAACCTGCTGCAAACTTGGTAGCTTAAAACATCACACACTTATTAGCTCACAGTGTCTGTGGGTCAGGAATCTGGGTACAGCTTAGCTGGGTCCTCTGCTCAGGTTGCAATCGAGGTGTTGACTGGACAGCGTCCCTTCCTGGTGCTCAGTGTCCTGGGCTCAATTCCACTCACATGGTTGTTCGCAGAATTCTGTTCCTTGCAGTTGTGGGACTGAGGACCCTGGCTTTTTGCTGGGTTGTCCAATATGATAACCACTAGCATTATTTGGCTACAGTACTTGAAATGTGGCTTGTGCACAGAAGAACTGAGTTCTTTATTTCTTTTTTTTTATTTTATCATTACACAATGTAAACGTTTTTTGTGGCCCTTTACCAATTTCTCCCTAGCACCCCCTCCTCCTCCCCCTACTTCATTTCATTTTAAAGAGTTTAAATTTAAATTTAAAAACAGATGCTTGATTCAGTCATTGGAAAACATTTTAGTATGTTTGAAACTGGATATGTGAATCATCTACTTTTTCAATAGTAAATTTCATAAAATCTACATACAGATCAAGTATTCCAATCAAAACTTAGCATCTAGGTGGGCTGTAAGTCTAAAATATACACCAATTTTCAAAGACTTAGTGCAAAAAAACAATGAATTTCAAATATTTCATTAATAATGTTTTATTTGATTACACGTTGAAATGATACTCTTCAGATATATTGGGTTAAGTAAAATGTTATTTAACTTAATTTTACCTGGGTTTTTTTGTTTTGTTTTGTTTTGTTTTGTTAATGTGGCTACTAGAAAATATTAAATTACATATGTGGCTCACATAATATTTCTACTGGGCAGCTGTGCTTCAGAGAATCCAAAGATAATCAGTAACATTTGAACGGGAACTCAGAGATTACCTAGTTTAAGTATTTCTTCATATAAAAGAATAAACGAAGACAGAACAAATAGGAAGGAGCCACTTACTTGATTTTTTTTCCCCAAACTTACTTGATTTCTTAATGGTAAAATAGATATAAAACTCATAACTAGTTAGTAGTGGATATGAAAAAGATATATCCATTTGAATTAATTTCTCAACCACACATAAGGATTGAAAACAGAAGCCACTTCCTTTCTAGTTGTAGTTTTTTTATTCCTTGCTCTTGAAAATAATCAATGCCTGTTGAAGAAAACCTGGACACCATCAAAAAAAAGATAATTTGTATTTCCTTTCACTGGAAATAACCACTCAAAATTAAATGTTGGTGTCATTTGTTAACTCAAAATAAGATAAAAATATGGGCCGGCCCGGTGGCTCACTCGGGAGAGTGCGGTGCTGATAACACCAAGGCCCCAGGNCACTGAGGGTTGCGATCCGTTGCCGGACACGAAAAAAGACAAAAAAAAAAAAAAAAAAGATAATTTGTATTTCCTTTCACTGGAAATAACCACTCAAAATTAAATGTTGGTGTCATTTGTTAACTCAAAATAAGATAAAAATAACATCTCACTAATAACGAAAAAGAACAATCAACTTTCTAAACCAGCCTCCCAAAAGTCTTTCAGAGAAGATGTAGTTACTCTGAACAAAACTGCTTCCTTTCATCAAAAAGCTCTTATGAAAGAATCCTGGAAAGAAAATAAAGTACATGCTGTATGATTCCATTTATATAAATTTCTAGAAAATTTCATTTATATAAATTTCTAGCAAATTCTGGTCACTATAGTGGCAGAAGGCAGCAGATAAGTGGTCACCTGGGGATGCAGTCAGGGAGTAGGAGGGATGTCAAAGGGGTGTGAGGGATCTTTGGGAATGATGGAAATGTTTACTTGTTGTCTGTAATGATGGTTTCACACAGGCAGGAGCAAAACTAGGGGCAGGCCAATGAGGCACTGACCTCAGACACAGCATTTTAAGGGGGCACCAAAAACTCAGTCAAGATAAATAATATTTTTAATGCAATATGTTTTTAAAAATCAAAATGCAAAATATGCATGATGAACAAAATATCCAAATTTTAACTTAAGACAGGATCCAAAAGGAGTCGATTAGGGTGAGGTGAGGAAGTGAATCCTATCAAGGGCCAGTTGGGACCCCGTCTTTGGTTAAAATTTGGATATTTCGTTCCTTGCAGTGATTTTTCATTTTTGTTTATTTTGTATTTTTTTAAGTATCCACAACAGACCCCCCCCAAATGTTGCAGCTTGTCCCACCCCCTTTCATGGGTGTCTACATATGTCAAAACTGATCAAAATGTACACTTTAAATATGTGCCCTTGTTATACTTCAATTATACCTTAATAACTTTTTAAGTTTAAAAACCTGGGTGCTCTGTCCAGTCAAACAGTCTTAAAAAAAAAAAGAAAGAAACCCTGTGTGAAATAATAAATTTTTGTGATGATGAATATGCTAATAATTACTCTGATTTGATCGTCACACACTTTATACACATCCTGAAATATAACTCTGTACCCTATACATATGTACGGTCAGTACATGTCAGTCAAAAATAAGTGAACAGATAAATAAAAGCCCGTCCCCCCCCCAAATAAAAACGTGTGTGAGTAGCTCCTCTATCTAGCTCCATACCTGCTTATTGGGGCTTTCCAGAAACAAGGAATTCTGATTGTGGCTGTGGGCATTCCCTGCCTGCTACCAGTGTCGGAATCCAAGGTCAGCTCAAGGTCACTTGGGCAGAGAAGGGAAACGCAAGTCCTCCAGCTACTCTGGTCACAGCATTCTTCTCACCTTCATTTCCCGTCTCTCCCCGTTCGCTGCTAAGTATCATTTCTCACACACAACTTAGAAAATCCATCGTTGACCACAGGTTCCAGTTTTGGTTTTGTTGAATGAAAAAAAAAAAACCTAGCTTTCTAGCTTTCTACTAAAAACCACTTCCTTTGCTCGGTTTTCAAACACAAACCCTAGGAGGGCAACATAAATCATTCTTCATCCCAGGCAACTGGGTGTTTCCAGAGGGCTCCTGTGTGTCAGGCACTGTGCTAGACTCCCTCACACACAAGATCCTATTAGTTGCCATCATGAATGTAGTGGATTGAATTATGTCTCCCCAAATCTCCCTGAAGCTTGAATTGTGTGTCCCCCAAGTTTTATGTATTAGAAACTTGGTCCCCACTGTGACTGTTAAGAGGGTGGGAAATCCTATTACGCTCATTGAAAGGTGGCGCCTTAAGAGGTGATTGGTAGTAGGACCGTGCAGTAGTGAATGGATTATAAATGGTGGTCAGGGGTGTGCTTCTGAGGGCTTTAAAAGAAGAGGAGAGTCTGCCTTTTTCTCTCTCTGCTTTCTCTGCTTCCACCATCTTGCAATGTGAGACCCCTGGGTCACTGTCACCACCACCAGATGGACTTTGGACGACTCCTCAGCCTCAGAAATTGTAAGCAATAAATTTTGTTTTTCTTTATAAATTACCCAGTT